ATCTGGCTACCTTCTTTGGAGATTGTCATGTTGTTTGCAGTGATGGTTGTCTTTTGGCAATCAGTGAACAATGTCTTTGGGTTGTCAGTAACACCTATCATCCAGGAGGTTGCTGTGGGTTTTCTCTGATCAAAGGAGGTCACCTTCTGGTCCATGGAGACAGTCTCATTTAGTTCTCCAGGGGGCTTATCGAAGGCATTAACAGGGAGAGTTATTGAGTTCTGGTCAAGGACTGTCCCAGGGATATTAGAACATGCAGAAACCGTCATTGTGGGCGTCAAAGGAGCCATCACTTGGTTCTGAGCGGACTCAGGTTGGCTCTCTTCACCACGGGCAGTCAGAGGCATGCAGATCTGTGGCTCTGGTGCAGCTGGAGTTCTTGACTCATGTGTCTCAGAGAATTCCAGGACGAACTCCTCAATTTCCTGAGGTAAAGGGTGAGTCTCTTGGCAGTTGCCGGATAACTGAACTGGATCTTCAGCTGTGGGATCCATTAGTTCATTGAGCGCGGTCAGGAGCCACTGTGTCTGGAGGTGAGGTCGGGCTGGCAAGTAATTGCTCCGTGCAGGGCCTGGCACTTATGGAGCCGCAGCCAGATGCGCTGTGTGCCTATTGGCGCCTTCGCTTGCCACGCCCTCTAGGGCGGATCCCAGGTCGGATCCCAGGGCTTAGGCTGTAATCCGCTCTCGGAACACGGATTAATGCATGGCCTGAGGTCGCTGTCGCAGTCCTTCCCCGTGTTCCCACCGTTGGGGGAAGCATTTGACAGGGATTAGCCCACCTCTTCCTCCGCACCGGTCTACCGGGTGGACTCTGTGTCTGTCACCAGACGATACAGAAACAGGCCCAGAGAGGCCATCGGCCTGAGTTTTAAACACAGGCGAGACCTCAACAGCCAATCAACCGGTCATGCTACAGCTGCGAGTATAACGAATTACTTCTATGCTGAAGTCTTATCAGGTCGCCTAGAAATGGTAATCGCATTTTTTTTTAATCCTCACTCGAGGCTATGTTTAGAGAGAGGGAGAGAGAGACACATCAATTGGTTGCCTTCTGTACGTGCTCCTACCCGGAACTCCTATGCGCCTATTTAATTACATTTTACCCCACCCCCACATATCATTTAAAATATTGGAAGTTTCATTTTTAATTTTGAGAAGGTAATCAACCTTCGATTTGTTTCTTTCTTTTAGGTGCAATGATTTCATATAGCTTCTTTTACACAGAGTAAGAATGTTATCAGGAATTGTCTATATCCTGCTGTGAATAACATGATGTAGTCTAGCAAATACTATATCTTAAGTGATCAAATGCATAGCAATATATGAGGGTGAAGTAGGTGATTTCTTTTTTTTTTTTAATATATTTTTATTGATTTTTTACAGAGAGGAAGGGAGAGAGATAGTTAGAAACATCGATGAGAGAGAAACATCGATCAGCTGCCTCCTGCACATCTTCTACTGGGGATGTGCCCGCAACCCAGGTACATGCTCTTGACCGGAATCGAACCCGGGACCTTTCAGTCCGCAGGCCGACGCTCTATCCACTGAGCCAAACCGGTTTTGGTGTAGGTGATTTCTTATATGAAAGTTCAAAAAGCTTTCACAGGCAAGGAATTCAGCATTTGTTATTCATTTAGAATTTTGAGTTATTAAGGAATCACTCCCTAACTGTTAGAAATATTAACACATTAAAACATAGACTTAGGATATATTTAAACTAGATATTACCTTAACCACTTTTATCAGCTGGTAACATCAATCATGTATCCTAAGCTAAGACTCACCAGGGATACATTTAGATGGAGGAGGCTCTGGAAAAGCGGGGGAGAGTAGGAGAAGCTTGGAGTAGAGGGGGGGAGGGTTCTGCGGAATAGCAGGGGGCAACTTGGGGGTGCCACACACTGCAGGAAGCATAACCTAAAATAGAGAGGGGTGGGATTAAAGGAAGTAGTTGTTACCAGATCTGCCACTTCTTAACTGGCTCTGCCTCAAAAAATGGAAACCCAACCTTACTTTAAGAAATTCAACCATCCAAAATAAAGTTAGCCCAGTGCCAATGGCTCCTAATACATTTTTAATATAATTACATGTTGTCATAATACAGGGGTGGGCAAAAGTAGGTTTATAGTTGTAATACAAATAAATAATACAATCACTAATAAATAATACAAAATAAACTGTATTTAGTGTACTCACAACTGTAAACCTACTTTTGCCCATACTTGTAGGTATATTGGTTATACTACCTGGATAATTTTTTGTAGCGTAAATACAACCTTTATGAATACATTTCATCAATTCTTTCCTTTAAAAGACAAAATATGATTCATTTTGTTTAATTTCTTGTTTCTTTTAAATATATTTTTATTGATTTCAGAGAGAGGAGGCAAAGGAAGAGATAGAAACATCAATGATGAGAGAGCATCATTAATTGGCTGCCTCCTGCATGACCCCTGTGGGGGATCAAACCCACAATCTGGGCATGTGCCCTGACCAGGAATCAAACCATGATCTCCTGGTTCATGGGTCGATGCTCAACCACTGAGCAATGTTGGCCAGGCTTGTTTAATTTTTTCAAATCAACTCTAACATGCTCTTACATTGGAGGGACATTTATTTTCTTATTCTGGTTATTTCATTGGGTTTCTTTTCTTTTTTGGCTTCATAAGTATATTTTATTCATTGGGTTACCTTTAAATATATTGATGGTCAATTATTTCCCTGCCATCGTAAATATGAAGTTTTTTTTAGTTTCAGAAGCTCTAAGTAATCTTTGTTAGTATTTCAGTTATTCATAATATCCCCCATTCAATGTTCAGACACTAATATTTCAATATTTCAGGACAATGACTTTAATTTTGTGTCACTCTGGCAATGAAAATATACAACATGATAGAACTTCATTTGTAAAAAAAAATTATAAGATGCCAATAAAAGTTGATTGCAAGGACAAATAACTAAAACAAATGTTTTGATTAAGAATCAGAAAGAGAGATGAAGAAATAAATGTTTGTATCCCATAGCACGTCAAGTAAAATTCTTACTTCAGTCCTGTGAAGTTCTAAAAAGCCCAGTCATAAAATGCTAGGATGTGTTTCCTCAGTGTTGAAACGTTGATATTTTACCCTAATGGAAAAAATTCCACTGGCGATATGAATTCTTGAACTTAAGGATAAACGGTAAGCTATAAAACCTCTAAAGATGATGAGCCAGTTAGGCATTTAGACTAAATAAACACTTTGAGGATGGTTTGTGGAATGCAGCAATCAAAAGATTTCCATTGCTTCACTTGGGAGTTGGGTGTCTTTTCAGTAATTCTAAAGACAGCCACTCATACCCGTCACATAAATCAACCTCAACAGTAAATTCCTCCTCTTTTCCAATTATGGTTGTTAAGAGTTATCTGTTACTTTGGAGTCATGTTTATTTTTTGTTCAAATAAACAAGGAGAACTGTACTTGGTATCTTTGCATGGTGTTATGCCAATTAGTGATGATGGGATAATAATATCACTGTAATTAATCACAATATTTATTTTTTAGCTTTTACACGATGACCTCACAGATCTGCATGCTATTTATGATGAGATGATAATGTCATATTTATCATTTATTGAGCATTTACTATATACGAAGTACTATGCTTAGAACTTTATACATATTTCCTCATTTAATTCTCACAGCAATCTTATAGGTTGGTACTTTTATTTTATTTAATGAATTAATTTTTCTTTTAGCCTCACCCGAGGATATTTTTCCATTGATTTTTAGGGAAAGTGGAAGAGAGAGGGAAAGACAAAGAGAAAAAATCGATGTGAGAGAAATACATGGATTGGTTGCCTCCTGCATGAGCCCTGACCAGGGCCCAGGCCAGGGAGGAGCTGGCAACCAAGGTACATGCCCTTGACTGGAATCAAACCTGGTCCACAGGTTGATGCTCTATCCATTGAGCCATACCAGCTAGGGGGGTACTTTTATATATCAGAATTTAAGTAATATTTCAATGGTACACCATATGACAGTGGCCAAACCAGGATTTGAACTCGGGTGGTACATTTGATTCTTTCACCTATGCTCTTAATCACCATATTATACTGCCTCATAACTGTACCATTCTTGGCTGATTGAGAATCCAAGAATTAAATAGAAAGGTTTAGAAATTTTATCAATGGGGCTAAAGGCCTGGGGAGAAAGATGAGAGAGAAGACAGAAGGGAAAATGAGAAGTAGTTTCCAGATTTCCTGAGCTATGCTAGTGACTTCCATTCATCCATTCCTGAGTTATACTAGAATGGTCTTGATGCAGGAGTCCTTTTGGACTTCCCCTAAACCATGTATGAAATATGTCAGCACTCTGAATATAGACTGGGGCAGAAGTCTCCTCCTGCCTTGGAAGGTGTGAAGGTGGCATAGCTATGACTAAATGTTTCCATTCTTGGATCTCTCCATACTTATGACATGTGGTCGGTGGAGGTTAGGGTTCCAACAGCATTTACTCTTAGAGAGAGCCTGTATGACACCCCCCCTTTACTGGCAATTGGCACTCTTTCTAATGTAAATAGAAGAAAAGAGGTGCTCACCCATCTGAGGTCTTTAGTTTCTTCTATTCTGGGGGTCTTCATTTCTTTCAGTCTTTCATTTATAGAACTCCTCGCAACGACGGAAAACAATAGCAATCAAAGCCTCCACTAGTGACTGTATAATCTCCAGTATGATTATGTAATTAGAGAATGTTCATGCTATGTTATATTTTATTGACTTTCTAGCAGTTTATTATTGTTGCTCATCTATGATGAGTCCGCTTATCCACAGTTTCGTTTTCCAGGGTTTCAGTAACCCATAGTCAACTGTGGTCCGAAAATATTACATTTAAAATTCCATAAATAAACAATTCATAAGTTTTAAATTGCAAGCTGTTCTGAGTAGCATGATGAAATCTTCATCTCGATCAGTGCTGTCCAGGACATGATTCATCCTTTTGTCCAGCGTATCCACACAGTATATGCTCCCTGCCCATTAGTCACTTAGTAGCCACCTCAGGTATCAGATTGACTGTCATGGCATCATAATGCTTGTGATCAAGTAACCCTTATTTTAGCTAATTATGCCCCAAAACACAAGAGTGATGCTGACAATTTGGATATGCCAAAGAGAAGCCATAAAGCCTTCCATTAAATGAATAGGTATGTATAATTAGGCATAATCATAGCATATAAATATATATGGTTCAGTACTGGGAATATACCCACCGTTTCAGGCATCCACTAGGGGTTTAGAATTTATTCCCTAACAGAAGGGGAGACTAGTTTAAATTATAATTTAAAAATTAATTTAGCTCCCTACCCGATTTGGCTCAGTAGATAGACCATCAGTCTGCGGACTGAAAAGTTCCAGGTTCGATTCCGATCAAGGGCACATCCCCAGTAAGAGGTGTGCAGGAAGCAGCTGATCGATGTTTCTCTCTAATCCAGGGGTGGGTAATCTTTTTGTGAGT